CTTTTTTTTACTCGAACGAGGAAATGTATTCTGGAAAAAAAACAGGGGTTAATTTAATTACTGTTCAATTCATTTTCTTCCGCTTCGAGACAAGTCAGAATAATTTGGCAATCAATGAATTTTTGAGGGTGTGAAGCAGGTTCGTATTCGAGTGGAATTAGCCTAATTTACAATCTTCCAAAAACTACTATTGTATATAAGAGGTCCGAAAAAGGGAAAAGATCCTACCATTCCTCATTCGCAATTCAGGACCTGAGAAGAATCAGTTTTGTGTTAATTTGTTAGAGTGTTCTCTCTTCCTTCCCAGTATACTGTAAACAAATATGAAGAAGGCGAATGAATGAACGGAATTGAAAAATGTAAAAAACTGTGATGTGTGTATCCATGCAATTACTTTCTGGTGTTCCAGTTGCATGAACTGTAATTGATTTGGATACTAAAGGCACAATCTGATAGTTTTTAAAGTCTTTCAACTCAAAGTTTAAAATAGAACCATTTTTATTTTATAACCACTTTCTGTCAGTGAAATTGCTTTCCCAGCGTTTTAAAACGTATTTTTAAGTTAAACTCTTAATTTTTGCTGTGAGACGAAAAAATCAATCACTTGAAGAATTGCCAGAGCAGAGGATTAATGAAGAAAAGTTAAAAAAAGCGGAGGCGAAATTTTGGAATTTCCAACTTAGTACTCTATCTGCAATTCTGAAAAAAATGGAAAGGATTCCATGGGCATTCCGCAGTTTTTGATCCATTGGCCATTTTTTTTGCCAAAATTTTTTTCTTTCCCTTTTTTGATAAACTATTATTGGCATGCCATCAAATTTAATATCACTTTTATTATTTATTAATGGCCTTAAAAAAATTGTTCAATAATTTCTTTACGAAGAATGATACTAATAGTATTAAGATTTATTGTGGGGTACGGAATTAACCCCAGCTTCCCCCTCCCCCATTAGTGTTTAAGAGCTGGAATGGCATTGGTTTGAGACTTGAAATCACATAAGCAGGATTTCCTGATATGGCTGGTTGTCTCATCAATTGCTTCTTTCCGATACTGTCTTTGTAATTACTTAACCCACTTTTCTAAACAGATTCATAAAACCATTGATATGTTTGTAGTTTGTAATAGCTTTGACTTAATAAATTTTACTTTCCCGTGTGCGTGCGTGTGTTTCTGTATACGAGGCAATACAAGGCGAGTCCAAAAATTCATGAAATATATATTTCCTTAAAAACGTTTATTAGCTATATTAGTACAAAGCTTTAAAATTTTTCAAAGTAGTCACCATTAGCTTCTACACATTTTTCCAGCACTTCACCCATGATTGGTAAGCCCCTTGGAAGGCCTCAACCGGAACCTCGTTTAAGAACGTTGTCACAGCCATTTGGATGTCCTCAATTTTCTCAAAACGGCGTCCTTTGAGCACGGTTTTAATCCTGGGAAACAGGAAGAAGACCGGCGGAGAGAGGTCGGGACTTTAGGGTGACTGCGGCAGTGTTGCCAGGTTGTGCTTGGCCAAGTACTCGCGAACGCGCAGAGACGTGTGGCTCGGCGCGTTGTCGTGATGCAGCAGCCATGATGCGGCGACGTCTTTTCGCACTCGGAGGACCCTTTTCCTTAATCTTTCCAAGACATCTACGTAGGAATGAGCATTAACCGTCTGCCCTTGGGGTACAAACTCTTTGTGCACCACACCTTCGTTGCCGAAGAAGACAATCAGCATCGTTTTCACCTTAGATTTACTCATCCTCGCCTTCGTGGGTTTTGGGGACTCTGAGGGGTGCCATTCCGAACTGTGGCGCTTGGTTTCCGGTCGCACGCGAAAGTCCATGTCTCGTCGGCAGTAATGACGTTGTCCAAATAACCTTTTGATTGACCTTTTGTTCGTCTGGCAGGACTTTAACTTGACGCACACCTTTCTCATGTGCAATTCCTCTTTAACAATGTTGAATACGGACATTTTTGGGATGTTCAGAGCGTCAGCTAAAAGCCACACACTCAATCGGCGGTCAACATTTATCAATTCACCAACACGATTCACATTGGGTTCGTTTCTGCTTGTTGTTGGTCTTCCAGAACGAGGGTCATCGTCCACCCCTTCCTGGTTATCCTTAAGCTTCTTCACCCATCTCGTAACTTGCACATAACTCATAGCAGATTCCTCGTAGGCTTGCTTTAACATTGCATGAGTCTCGGAAGGATTTTTATCGAGCTTGGTGCAAAACTTGTTCGCCCAACGTTGTCCGTTAATATGCACATTTCCAGCAATTTGTAAACACGGTTGTATTTGTGAGTTGAAGTGCTTCAAATGACTTCTAATGAAGTTTTTCGAAATCTCAAAAATTTTCTGTGAAAAAGAGCTTCATATTTCGAATTTACAGTAGCGCTTAAGAACTATTTCCTTTAAACCGGCCCCAAATTTTTCAAAGAAAATTGCCATTTAGAACGAGGTTCTATTGTTCTTTAATATTCTTAAAACAATATTTTCGTTGTATTAGCAGGAAAACGAAAAATTAAAAAATGTACGGGTATGGGCGGCGAGAGATGGTAAGAGTATGTGGCAAGTCCGAATTACTAGCCGAGACCAAAGGAAATAGACAACTAAACGGGAAATTCTGTGCCATTCTGAGGCACCAGTAGTTAAATACTCTTACCAAACTGCTTACCAAACATAGGAGAGAGACCCATAAAATGTTTTTCGTCAAACTTCGGCAAAGGTCGTGTCAGAGGAGTGAATGAGGAAATTAATGGTCGTATCGCGAATATATATATATGTAACGGACGGTTGAATCCTTAATATCTTCAATGATTAAATGATTTTGAACTTCCACTTCATGCTGTTATCCTGTTAATCAATTGTTTATTATTCTGGTATAGAATTTCAATTTGGTGTTGTTATTTATTGACAAACTACCAGCACTTCCATAGGAGATTGCCTTAGCTCTTTTTTGCTGTGATTGTAAAATGAAAATTGTAGGAGAATGCCCTTCCCCCCTCCCCCCAAACACGTATGCCCACAACCACTCACTTGTTAATGTTGACTTCGTATTGAAGTATTTTTGAAGAATTGTGAGGATAGGTCAATAAAATGATTTTTCTGCCATTTTTTTCTGCTATTTCGGTTTGGCCTGGACAAAACACACGTCATTGTAGAAATCACTACTATTGATGAAATATACAATTAGTTCACGGGATTGGTCAATAAGAATAAAGAAACAATTAGTTATATCAACATTTCGAAATATTTAATTTCATAAGGGTTTGCTCATACACATAGACCAGCCTCATTTCCGTCTACCAAACTCAACTCCAAATGGAGTTGCTAAAGCACATGGGTCCATCCTGTGACAGAATGAATCGAGCACAACACAAAAAATGCTCAAAACTACTCAAATTTTGAAAAAATGTACATGACCTTAATGAAAGAACTTTATGGAGAACAAATTTCATTAGAAGGAAAAATCTCTTATTTTCAATTTTGTAGTTTGTGTTTGTTTTGAATTTTTTTCGGGGTCTTCCTACAACTACATAATTAAAGATAGAGATATTTCCTTGAAATGAAATTAGCTGTCCATAATTTATTCTTTTATTAAGGTCACGTGCATGTTTTTGAAAATTGTAGTAGTTTTTACACAATATTGCATGCAATTTTAAAATATTACAAAAACTAGATTTTCTCAAACGGCTCCAAAGTTTTCTTTAAACTTTGGTGGGAATTGAGGTAAATGCACTCTCTAAGATGACATAAACGCCACATTACTCTATTCGTATGTTTTTTCAAAAATTACAAAAATGTATTTTTTTTTACTTTACTCTGACATCGTTAATATTTACTATAGCATTTAATTATTACATTAGGATTACAATTTGTTCACATAATTATATGTATGAGTACATGTGCTTTAAATAACGTCATAAAGCAACTCGAAAACTCAACCTTTTTCTGTGATAACTTGCTCAAAATTTCGCATTTTCAGGGACGCTCAAATTCCATTTTCTCAAAAACGGTTCCAAATTTGTTATTCAAACTTTTCGAAAGGATAGTGCTAGTTGCACTCTTTAATATGACGTAAAGTTCATTTCGGTTTTTATTTTCTTTCAAAAATTACACAATTGTAATTTATTTGAAAGATCTCTCATGCCGTTAATATCCACATTTCCAACAATTTGTAATCAGTATTGTATTTGTGAGTTAAAGTGCTTAAAATGACTTCAGATGAAGTTTTTCGGAAACTCAAAAATGTCCCAGGGGTATCGGAAGACTCCAAAATGTGTGCGTGCGCGCATGTGCGCGTGTGTGTCCGTGTATACGTATATGATACCTCTGAAGGTTTCTTAGCATGGCATTTACGAATGAGGTGGGAGGTGGAGACTATTGCATCACACTTTGGCCGGGGTTATGGATCTGACCTCTTGAATAAATGGCAGAAATTAAGTTTGAAATGACCTATTCTTAGTCTTGTAGTTGCAACCTGTTCTGACCTCTTTCTGTTTTCTGAGGAGTGCTGGGTCAAGAATGAAATGACTAAATGGAGATATTTTTGTAAGTCGGATGCAGGAGGGAGAGGAGAGGAAATACTATGTAATGTGTTAGATTGTGCATTGATTCTCATGTGAAATGGGTTGTGTGATGTGTGTGAAGGCATGATCTAAAGAACTTCATTAAAAAGGTCCACTTCTGGTTCAGACCCTTGCGATTCAGGCATATTGTGATATTTTGGTTTTTGTTCTGTTATTGACAACCTGATTGATTTCCATAAGGACCTTCATCAGAAAGATAGGGAAGAAATTATATTTAACGTTCTGTGTCACACTGACAAATTTAACTATTGTTTGAAAATAACTAAATGTTCTATGAAGGAGTTATACTGAAAATTATTTTTAAATCTTGTTTCATATAATTGTATGTTACACTGAGAGGTTGATTTACATTTGTGGGATCTGGCTCCAAAAATATCAAAAGTAGTACCAAATTTTCTCACCAATCGTCTCTACTTTCTAGGTTTTTCTGTCACTCGCATGAAAACTGAAGACTCTACATCGGAACACATGGCTGGTGCAACCACGATAGAACACGTCTCTTCAGAAGGTAAGAACGAAAGTGTATTGTGTGTATCTTTGTGCCTGATAAAAGCCTGAGGAACTTTGGGCAATTTTGATCGGTGAAGGGGCAATTTTGTTACGTGTTTTGTTTCCTTCAGCCAGTTGTGATTTGTTTTTGGAAAGCAGTCAGAACCTTACTGGTTGAAAGGTTATAGTTGGAGTATCGAATTAACACCAGATGGATGAGCTCTATCAAAATGTGTCGTCACAATCAAAATGCCTTGTGTGCACCTAAAACCAGGAAATGATTGGTAGTTTGGTTCTGTGTCTTCACCTCTTTGCACCTTGTGAATAGTCTAATTCCATTTCGATGGACAGTAATAGTAGAAACCCCGCGTGGGCTACAACCCCACTAAACTCTTGTTTTACCAGGGGCACAAGTCTGCGGGATGGGCACCTAAGCGTTAACATTTATCCGCCCCCCCCTTGACGCCACACAAGTACGACGACGGGCTGATATTCGGATCCGTCAGTGAGTGGTCCCCTGGTGGATCCATGCAGTTTGCACTCACGACTACGTCTCCATTCAATGCCTAGCTTGGAGCCGCTCTGCCAGCTCAGAGCTACTAGCTTATCGAGCTAGTACCGGAGTCAAAACAAGTCCCTCCTCTTTGCTCCAGAGTAACGGGCCAGTGCCACGACGAAGCCAAGAGTCCACCAGGGGACCACCCAAACAATGGTTCTAGCGGCTTGGGGCCCCCCTTCCCGTCTTCTCACTGTCTACTCCTTTAGGCTATTGACGTGAGTATCGCCAGAACCTAGGCAACCTGGCGGGTGGAATCAGGTTCCCGCCGGACGTCTATCTGTGGATTCCAGAGCATTCCGAAGAACCTTCACCCGATTGTGCCTAAAGACCGTCGCGCCATAGACCTGACTGGTGGGTTATTACCAGGAGCGTAGTATTACCCATTACCAGGACCGTAGCATCGCCCACTCACTGGCCCCACCTTGAAGCTATTGACGTGAGTGCCGCCGTGAGATTCAGGGTTCGAGTGATTGTCTACTTCTCTTCGCCAGAGATCGTCTACACCTGCGCAGCCACGATCCTCCCTGCGGCGATTACGATGGACAGGATAATACATGTGAATGATGTCACTGTGGTGACGTTCAAGCTCCCGATTAGATGTCATTGTCAACAGCTGATTTACGTCTAGCGCCACCACAAATTAACCAAAGTATAGTGGATATCTTTCATTGATATAATTTTACTGCATTGTGATTGATGAAAGATATATACCAACAAAACCTTTATTACCAAAAACGTTATTTTATGAATTCTCTCTGACAGCGAATTTGTATTTTGTTTTCCACTGTAGAAAACAACGACAGTTACTGAAATTATGCAATTTGTAACACTTGGACGATGTACCTTATGGTTATAGTAACTCGTTAAACAGGGATGTCGTTGCCAAAATGTTGAAGCATGCAAATTATATGGTTTATTTTTATGGAACAATAAGAACTGCGTGATGCTCAAATTCATTAATCTCCTGCGAAATAGAGAGCTTTGGATTGGATAATAGCGTACTAGCAGATGGAACGTTAGAAGGCTTTCTATTTAAACAGGATAATAGTTTAAACTGAAGGTGTTGTTTTATCTCAAAATGTAAGTCGAAGATAAATGTTGTTGTTCTTTTTGTGGTATTTCTTTTTTGGCAAAGAAGCTTGGCAGTTGAAACTAATACCGTTCGACTACAAAAAATGTAGTTACTCTTTAGTGGCTAGTAATTAAAGATATTATAAAAGTATTTATTGAGTCTCCGGAAAGTGTTTCGCAGTATCAAAGTACTTTCTTTGGATCTTCTCCCATATCTTTAGAACGAACGAGAGACTCGATCGTATTTAAAACTTGAAACTGAAGGCGCAGTGACGCTTCGCTACGTGGGTGCAAATTCCTCGTGTCGAGCCTTCTGCCTATGCGATTAACATAAAGCGTCCTTACGTTTCGTCCAATGCATTCTATTGCAAACCACTTGCCTGCCGAACTAGACATTTCATGCATCGCTACACGTGTCGAAGTTGTTTAATTCTCGACATTCGGCTTAGGCGATTGAATCATTTTTGAGGATAACCTTCGCATTTTATGTCAAAATACTTTTCTAATTAATTAAAATGTGCCATTCTTACTTAAACTACGAAAGGATACCGTCGTTCCCACCTCTCGCTTTTGTTTAGCAATCTCACGACGTCGGAGACGACTGGTTACGATAGGGGTAACATTCCCATTTTTTGTTCTCATCTTTAATGTGGCTTTTTACCGACTGTTTGCGGCCTTTTTTATTTGGGCCATGTCGTTCGAGATGCATGCTTCAATCCCGTGTATAAACTCCACACAAGAAAGATTAAGTAACACCTGATTTTTTCATGATGTGTGTACTGAGTGTATTGCTGATCAGTCTGGGATGGTGACGGTTGTTTAATTTAGCACTTTACTCTGTAAATCTCTGCGGGTAAAACTGTGAGCATGTGGACGCCGTCGGACAACTGTTAAACGCGCGAGACGCAAATCCGAACGGTTAAAACGAGGAGTCTGGGGGCGCTGGAGCAGTATCGTAACAAATGGACTACGGACCGCGCACGATCTTTCCTTCCTTGTCACTGTCCTATCTTCACCCCTTTCACACAATTACATGCACTACACTACTTCACATGTAAGGAGACCAGTCGGGAGCTTCGAACTGACGCGGAACTTACAGGGGGAGATAACTGATGGGAATTTCCATAAGACGTGTAAGTTGGCGCCGGATCTCGCCAACCAGCGAGGGAGGAACCCCCCCCCCCGTAATTAAAACATTCACAACACTAATGGCCATAGAGACGCACCCGGAAACATTAATGTATCAGAAGTCCACGGGCATACATTCGTTAGAATATTACGTGCGGGATTGCGACCACACTGTTCGCGTTTACCCGAAAGGATAAATCACGAAACCCGAATGTTCCGTTAAAATCAGCCGCGTCGGGTAAAACTGATCCGATTTGTGAACACACCTGGGCCTTTGAATGAGGAACATTATAATTCGTGTCTGTTCATGATTTCTACATCCGAACCGATCACAAGAGCGGCGCCTAGAAGTGAAGGCAGCATGGGCATCTTACCCAGCAGGCTCCGACTTAATTGGGGTCCGGATTCTTTTCCATTCAAAGCAAATAGAAAATGTATTTACTTCAAATTAATTGCTTGAAGTTATTTCCCTTGCGTGGAGAAATGAATTCTGTTTATGTATTGGGGGTGGGGGGAGCTTTTGATTGGTCCCCCGTAGTAATGTAATAGGTCCCCCGTAGATCTGTTGGTCCAAGCCCCTTGTTTTTTTCTGGACGTCCCTGCATCACAGTCTTGTAAATAAATTCCGTGACGCCACACGTCGCTCCGAAAAGTTAGGGGTTGCATGTCTGCCTTTGGCGATCGTGCGGGTATCGACTACTTATGAAATCTTATGATCTCTGCCTCTTCATTCTACTTTTTTTTACTCGAACGGAGGAAATGTTTCGGAAAAAACAGGGGTAATTTATACTGTCAATTCATTTTCTTCCGCTTCGAGACAAGTCAGAATAATTTGCAAATCAATGAATTTTTTGGAGGGTGTGAAGCAGGTTTCGTATTCGGTGAATTAGCCTAATTTACAATCTTCCAAAACTACTATTGTATATAGAGGTCGAAAAAGGAAAATCCTACCATTCCTCATTCGCAATTCAGACCTTTGGGAGAAGAATCAGTTTGTGTTAATTTGTAGAGTGTTCTCTCTTCCCTTCCCAGTATACTGTAAACAAATTTGAGAAGGCGAATGAATGAACGGAATTGAAAATGTAAAAACTGTATGTGGTGTATCCATGCAATTACTCTGGTGTCCAGTTGCAATGAACTGTAATGATTGGATACCAAAGGCACAATCTGATAGTTTTAAAGTCTTCACTCAAAGTTTTAAAATAGAACATTTTTATTTATAACACTTCTGTCAGTGAAATTGCTTCCCCAGCGTTTTAAAACGTATTTTAAGTTAAACTCTTAATTTTGCTGTGAGACGGAAAAATCAATCACTGAGAATTGCCGAGAAGCAGAGGATTATTGAAGAAGTAAAAAGGGAGCCGAATTTGAATTTCCAACTAGTACTCTATCTGCAATTCTGAAAAAATGAAGATCATGCATTCGCATGATCATGCATTCGCATGATCATGCATTTGCATCAAGATTCATATTATGAAGGTGTCATGCGCTGAAATTAAACGAGTGTTCGAGAAGTTGAATATCCTGATGTCGAAGAAAATTTTGTGCAGTGGTTTCAGTAATGTAGAAGTAACAACGTAAACTTGGGTGGAACGGTTGTAAAAGGAAGATGAGACATTAGCGAAGCTATTAAGTTATCCAGAGCCCCGAGCGACTAATGGCTGGTTAGAACGATTTAAAACAAGCAATGGGATAAAATAAGAAGAGCATATAGTGAATCTGTCGGTGCGAGAGTGTTTGCAGTAGTGTGGAAGACAGTCGACAGAACGTCTGAAAAGTTATTAACCTCATAATGTTCTGTTTGGAGATGGGGTACCGAACTTCCTGTAGGTTGTAAGCCCCGTAAGGTTCTGAATGAGATAAAATATGCATTTCCTCTACAAAAGATGTTCTGTGACAAATGTCACTGATTACGTTTTTATTGTTTCTCAGAAGTTTATGTAGCCACACATTTTAAGAAGCAGATCTTGTAGAATTCGAAATGCACATTTTCTTGTTGGAGGTTCTAGGATTGTTCCCTCCATTGAAAGTTGGTTAACTTTGCCAAGTGGAGTGTTAACTTTGCCGAGTAAAACCAAACGATCCATTCAAATTTTGCTTTTAGAAGAAACTAGTTTATCGAAAAAAAGGTTTAATTGAAATGTGTTCAATTGAATTCAGCCAGCTACTTTTTTGTTTACCATAGTCTTGAATTGCATGTCGCTTATTAGGAAATAACTGTTTTATTAAATACATGCAAGTTTTGTTCTAAATTTACCCAAAC